TGTTGCGGGTTGGCCGCTGCGCCGGGCCCAGCTCATTACCAGGCGGTTAATCGCAGCCACCAACTGGATCGGCACGCCATATGAAGCTCTGAACGTCATGACCAACGGATCTCGCAGACGCACGATGCTCGCCGCGCGTACGCGCTTGGGCGCACCATGATAAGGCTCCTTAGTGACTCATGGCCGAAAGGCGTCTTCAACCGACCGGCTCCGCTCGCTATATGTGAGCGCTGCCACCTCCCAGCAATCGCATACGCGTTGACACACACGAGCCGAATGACAAACGCTTGGTAGTCAAACGATACGTAGATTTACTTAACAACAAAACATGGGTAACGCTACGGGTTTGCGCGGGTCAAGCGCAGCGAGTGCACATACGGCCTTGATCACGCGAAACAGTCAATAACACGGTACATCGATCTTCTTCAGACTGGAGGCGGCTGGTGGCCCATCAGTGGTGGGTCGGCCGATCGATTGATCGATCGATCGATCGATCGACCGGTTGGTGGGTGTGCCGACGCAACTTACTCCGAGCGCAGCTTGCGGTACTGGGTCGCCGCACCAGCATTCGCCCTGGCGCTTGCGCTCGCACTCGCGGAGGCGCCAGCACCAGCGTTCGCTGCACCAGCAGCACCAGCGTTGCCCACGGCGCCGCCATTGTAGCCATTGTAGACGCCAACGTTGTTGTAGCCATTGTAGCCATTGTAGCCGACGCCCACGCCACCCACACCGACGCCTACACCGCCGAGCCCGACGCCCACACCACCGACGCCGACGCCAACGCCACCCAGGCCCACACCAACGCCGTGTCCGTAGTATCCGGCAGGGTAGCCGTAGAGGCCAACGCCGAGATGTCCAAACGTCTGGGCAGCTTGTTGCTCCGCGTGCACGCCGCTCGAGAGTGCCGCGACGGCGAGGCACAGGACGGCGATCTTGTTGTTGTTGCCGATCATGGTGTTACGTTGAGTGATGTTGGTTGGGTAGTTGATAGGAAGACGTAGTGGAGCTCGATTTAACGAGAGAAAGAGAGAGAGGAGAGGATGGTCTCTTGTGGCTTGGTAGTTGACTCGAGAGAGAAGAACGAGGAATGAACTCGGAGGAGCAGGCAGGCCGACAGCCTCTTGCGCGTGCTACATTGGCTCCGCTACGCTGCAATATCGAAAGCCGGTCACAAGGCATTGCAATCACAGCAGCCTGCGCTCGTGTGAGGGTCATGATGACCACCACCACCACCATCAAAAACAGCAGCAGGCAGCACCCTTCATTCGAGCAGGTGTAGATCTTCCAAAGCTTGAAGTGGGCTCGACTCGAGGTGCACTCGACTTGAGGTGCGGAGGCCCAGATGGATACGCATCTATCTATCTTCTTTCGCGCAAGGCTCGAGGCGATGAATTCATGTGTGTTGACCATATATATCGAGAACGAGCCGCCAGGCCAGATGGCTGGCGGCGAACTAGTATTGCATTGCGCTGCTGCGACGGCGGCTGAGACCGTTCACACATACACAGTCAAGAGGCCAGGCTACTCCAGCAGCAGTACGGGCGTGCCTCCTTATTGCGAGCGAGGCAAGTACGCTCGCTGAAGTTGCTCGGCCCTCGACTTTTCATGCATTGATTGCCGGCCAATCGTCGTGCAGACTTCAACTTCAACTTCGTCCATACATTCTCCAGTATTGTTTGGGTGTGAGACGGGTCGGGCAGCATTGCTGTTGGTTTGGCAGCAGACTGCACGTATAGATGATCCCTGTAGTGCTGTTGCGCTCGTTGTTGGGGGGGCTTGACCGGTATTGTCGGGATTATCGTGGGACCAAAAGCCACCAACTGCCACCAAAAGTCACCAAAAACCACCATGTCCTGACATCTGTCCTGGGACCCCCGACAAATATAACAGCCAATAGGAGACAACATTCAGCAATCTCGCCAGAAGCAGCAAGTTGATGCCAACAAGATCAGTAACCGTCACTGCCGTGGAGGCACTGCGGGCCCGCAAGCTCGGACGGTGCATGAAGTAAGTGCTGCAGATCCTAATGAGATGTATGCGGTGACCTATGTTCTTAACTATTCGATTTGCTTGTGCTGATATGGCAGCATACTTTAGTGGTGATGTGAAGCCGACTACTGAGCGGGACAGACTTACCACAGCTAGCCGTATCAAGTGGCTGCTCAGAGCTGCTGCGGCCTCTACTCTGACTAGTGCTATGGCTAACAAGAACAGGGGGCGAGGCCTTGATCGTGCTAGGCATCCTGCATCACTGTTGCACTAGATCTATCCGCGTTGATATGGTTTCGGCGACTCAGCTGGCGCAAAGCGCAAGCAAGCTCACGGAAGCCAACGTACCGTAGACGATTGAGGCTCACTTCGCCGGCGTTCTTTCAGTTGGGGATCGACTCCAACTCGTGCTATGTGAAGGTACATACTCATTTTCAAATGCGTTGTGGGGTGTGCTAATTACTAAGATACTGCTACTTGTTGTATATTGATGTAGACGTTTAGCTGGTGGCAAGCGGATTTATTCAGCATGAAAAGAAACTGGTAATAGACTGCATTGGTGCTGATTGGCGGTGCATGCAGTTCGGATTGGTGCTGTTGGGTCCACATCCACGCTTTCGTTTGTTGCAGCTTGCGCACGCTGGGCCTGTTGGCCGTGCACGTTGAGCGTTTGACTGTGTACAAATGCAGGTGGTACAGGTGCTGGGTTTGAAGATACACTCCCGGATACCGGTGCTGCTGTTGGCACGCTGTTGCCTTCTGCTGCCTGTAGCACTTCGCGCCGTTTACGCTCTGCATTGAGTCGACAACGAAGTTTGTTCAAATCCAAGCTTCCGGACGGGTGCATCTGCTGGTATTTTGCGACGATACTCGGCCACTTTCCGTGAGCCCCTTTTCGAAAACTAGCCGCGTGCTCCAGCAGAGCATCTAGAGTGGTTTCGTCTAGAATTTCAAACCGACTTCTTTTTGGTGAGTGTGGAGCTTCTTGGCTACTTGAATTACTGGGGTTGGTCACACACACAGCCATGCCAAATTGTAGCTGCTGTGTAGAAGCATCTACCGGTGCAAGAGGTTTCGGTGGACGAGATACTTTATTGTCTGTGAACGGATCTTGCGCGAGTGCCTCTACGGAGGCGTTTGGAGGTTGGATGGAGTTACACGAAGAAGTGTTGAGTTCGACACCTTCATCTCTGCGACGCTTGTAGCTTACGGACCGGCGCAAAGAATCCCAGCGTCGCTCCAGAAATTCACCACTCTTCTGATTAGTTCCCGAGCATGTGTAGGCGGCAAAATCGTACACGGAGCGGTAGACTTGCTTGACGTGCTTAATACCGACCGGTAATCGAAGTAGCTGGAACGGTTCTTCCTGCAGAGCCTTTTCTTTCGGCAAATTGGTTTCATCATCGAGCTTAGTGGATCCTTTCAATACGAGCATGCGAGAGACACTGGATACCACCTTCGCTGAAGGCTGCTTAAGTTGCGAGTCGATTACAACAAGTCTGTGAGCAATGGCACGGAAGCCTCGTTTCTTAATGTCCAGATTGGGCATCGTTGACCACAACGACCGACCAGAGCCGACACGCTGGCGGTAGATACGACCAGTGCCTCCACGATACTACCACAGCAGCGCTGAAATAGCGCGAGATCACGCCCGTCGTCCTCGCCAACCGTCCCCACCAGTCTGTCCTCATCCACCGAAGGCTCTCGCACGCCGTCGCTGTGCTCCAGCCCGATGGAGCCGCAGTACTTTGTCGGTAGGTCGTCGGCAACGCCGGCACGTACAGAATGACATCGCCACTCGCCTCGGCCTCCGTGCTGCCATCAAACGCGACGCTCGGCCCACTCCACGCTACTCCTCGACGTGGCTTGCCGCCAACATCATTCCGACCAGCACGTCTATGCCGGCGACATGCCGGTCTCAGCGCACAAAGCGCTTCTTGTTCATATCACTGCGCCAAAAAGCTTGTTGTGAGCGGTGCGTTGCATTCTGTGAACAGAGCTACACCGGATGTCGACACCTACACTTATTCATGGTACTGTCGGATCCTCGAATCGACAGCTTGCAGCCAACAACAGTAGCTCACGCTACTGGCGGCCACTCCACCAGCCCTTGTAGCCAACAACAGTAGCTCACGCTACCGGCGGCTACTCCACGGCAGGCCTGGATGCAGCTTGTCAGCGGCGTGAACGTCCCCCGCATCCCCCGAAGTGCTTCAGCGCAGCAGCCGCCAGCGGCCGGCATTTTTGTCTCACGGATTTATGGCACATGGTACCACAATTGGCGTCCTTCCACCACAGATGGTACATGGTACCATAATCACGTCCTTCCAGCACAGATGCGAGCCGGCGCTGCCGACAACTGACCGACATAGTACCGCGGCTCCATCGGCCTAGAGCACAACGACGGCATGCAAGAGCCTTCGGTGGATGAGGACACGCGTCTCTGGTCGTTGTGGGCAACGATGTGAACAAGAAGTGCTTTGTGTGCTGCGGTCGGCATGTCGCCGGCTTAGACGTGCTGGTCGGAATGATGTTGGCGGCAAGCCACGTCGAGGAGTAGCGTGGAGTGGGCCGAGCGTCGCGTTTGATGGCAGCACGGAGGCCGAGGCGAGTGGCGATGTCATTCTGTACGTGCCGGCGTTGCCGACGACCTACCGACAAAGTACTGCGGCTCCATCGGGCTGGAGCACAGCTACGGCGTGCGAGAGCCTTCGGTGGATGAGGACAGACTGGTGGGGACGGTTGGCGAGGACGACGGGCGTGATCTCGCGCTATTGCAGCGCTGCCGTGGTAGTATCGTGGCACGGCTTGTTTCCACAAGCACTGCTTGTTTGCACAAGCAGGTGGACGGCAGCGCCAGCGCGCGGCACCTCGACGACAACAACACCCTCGTGGCCGTGTTTATCACGCGCGGATCCGCAGCGACCACATCCGAGTTGCTGGGCAGGGGGCCTCTTCTGCCTCATATACGTATTGCCTGCTCTTTTCCGCTGCATTAGTTGAAGGCGCTGATGAACAGCTTCTCGGTGCTCAATGAACAGGACAAGGACAAGACGCTGGACTACGACGCCTACTTTGTCTCGCAGGAGACGCTGAACCTGATCGCGGTCAAGACGGGCGCTAGCATCGCGTTCGTGGCCACCAAGACGTTCGGCACGCGGTCCCGTTGGTGTGCGTAGGCAACAGCGACAGGACGGTCGACTTCTTCGCACGCTGAGCGGTAACGTCCGGTACTGAAAGCCGGCCAAGGACCCCAACGTGCCCCCGTGTTTTTCGAGCAGAAGAACGTCGTCGGCTTGAGGGTGGCGAGGTCCAAGATCAAGAGCATGCCGTTCCGCACGTTCAGTGGCGTGACGTCCAAGGACACGACGCTGAGTGGCCTGACCATCGACAACCGCGCCGGCAACGGCATTACTAAGAACACCGGCGGGGACAGTCACCAAGATGGAGTTGCACGGCGCGATGTTGGTGCTCTTCTTGAAGGTGCCCGTGATGTGGCAGGCGACTGCTGCTGCAGCTGGGTCGGCCGATCCTGTTGCTGCTGCTTGGAGACTGCAAATCGGTACTCATTTTGGGAAAAGCCCTCCCAACGCACCGCTCTCAGCACGATTTTTGGAGCTGCGGACGGCATCTGGGAGCCGCAGGTAAACATGGGAGGGGACCGGGAGGTTCCTGTTGTGGCGGATTACGTCGCGGAATGGCCTGGAGTGGCCCGAGTTGCGTGTGATTCGGTAGCACGGTGACCGAGTCGAGCGCCAATGCACACTGGCGCTGTTGAGGCCATGCCCATAATAACAACACTCTGCGAGAGAGGGGACTCTGTGGTGCTGCAGATGGATGATACCGGTGGCAAGCTGCGTCGAGCACTGATCCGATATTCGTCCCGTGAGCAGATGCATTGATCAAGGCGAGTGAGGATGCGTTCGTAAACGAGTTCGAGCTTGACATCCTCATGCCAGTGCTGTCGACACCTGCCAAAAAACGATTGCTGCTCCAATCGCCCTAATGGCGCTGCGAAGGGGATATAAAGCTAGTAGCTTCAAGCTACACAAGACGGTTTGGGGCGGGTGACGACGGTTGAACCGAACATGGCATTAGAAAACAGGACAGACCGGCATTGACAGGATTTTATAGTCGAATACTGTTGAAATACAAACTAATTACAAAAAAATCAAAAGAAAATGTATACGCATTCATTGTCGAGGGCTACTAGCAATTGGGGTGGTTAACCGCCAAGTCCGTGCGAGGATTGTTTCGAGCTGCGTCGCTTTCCTGTAGGTTTCCGGAACTGCAATTTCTTGTCAAGGTTCACCGGGATACTCTTTCCACAATCCCAGTGCTCATGCCAAATTGCATAGCACGACTTCTTTTCGCCGAATGACTCATGCCGCACCATTTGGCAGAGATAAACACTAAGAAACAAAACACTGTGAGTTTAATACCCCGCGAGTAAAATCAATGAAACTTCACTTACTCGCCGGTGTGACCGTTCGAACAAGCCCGACAGTACCACTTGGTATTTTCCCCCCTCTTTCCTTGTGGGGCCAGTAAGCTGCAGACCTTACACGCTCGATGCATCCGCTTGCGGTTAGGATTTCCGACTTCACCTTGAAAGTCTTGCGTTTCAGTGGGTTCATGGTTCGACAAATTTACCCTTCGACCCGCGGGTCTACACGGGACAACCAATGGGGGTTGAAATGGCTTTTAGAGGAACAATGCCATGTTAGCAATCGCTTCACTGTCAAAAGAAAACAAAAACTGCTGCAAATAACGTACCATCGGTGATTCCAGCATATCTTCTGGTTGGTTTGCCAGAAGTTGGGCATGTAGCGTTGTGAGAAATCCCGAATAACTCAAGCCAGACTTTCCTAGTCTCTGGTTGTGCTCCCGGTGGAAATGTAAGCGTTAACGAGCGCTATGTCAAGCAACCCCAGGAACAGACTTCAGGAAAAGTTAGCAAACTCTCAACAAGCAACCAAAATTCCCGTCGTACTTACGTCTTGTAGTACTTCTTGAATTTGAATGCCTGCTGAAGTGAAAACAGCTGAAGTCAAAGTTGATCGTGAATATCAACACCTCCCATGTTGTTATGGTGGTCTTTTACCAATTTCGGGCAAGGAATATCGGTGGGTTCGCCTTCCACCCAGGTTTTTCAAACTACAAGATAAGCAATAACAACAGACCGCCAACATTAGATTAGATGACAATTCAACCAATGTATGCAAAGCACCAACCTGTAGTTAGCTGCTGCACACTGGCACCTGTCGCAAGAAAATGAACAGGCTTCGAGTCCCACCAGCAACACGCTAGCATATCGGGAGCTGCTTTGCATCGGGTCAGAAGATATGATCCGCGAGGAATATCACTGGGCCGTTTCGTGCGCTGTTCTTTCAGGTCCGATGGAAACCCAATGCGTCGGGTCTGAATTGTACCCACAGGTAGATCTTGCTCGATAGTAGTTCAAGCGCCAGCGCGACAGACGTATAGAACCTATCAATGACAACAATTCGATATTCTTGGCGCTCGCTTGGAAGAACTTTGTCTAGATTTCGTAGAACTGCGGCCGGTCCAGATTTGTCGTCAATTGTTTGTTTACCACCGAGATGAGCCTTTTTCCACAGTAGACTTCCAGTCTAACAATGTGCGCACATTACCACAGGTTAGTTTAGTAGATTCGTTCCTGTAAACAGAGTTTAATACATTACCTCATGCAGTAGGACGTGCGCGGACAGCAAGTCATAAAAAGCTTCGTTCCCCATTTATGAGGTTTATCCTTCATAAACATCCGTGTCCCGTTGAATTTCGAATGGGAAGGAATCATTCCCTCGTCAACCGAATGTGGCCGACATTATTTACGTACACCCAGTGTACTGGGTGTACAGTACTTAAAAGTACAGATTTCGATCCTAAGAGCACTGCCACCTGGTGGAGGCAAAAGCTAAAGCCTGTGATTAGTCAATTAGGGTGTATGGCATAACATATAGAAGGTGATAGCATAGGTAATTCGGTACTTGCCACTACGTGCGAGATCACGCCCCTCGTCCTCGCCAACCGTCCCCACCACTCTGTCCTCATCCACCGAAGGCTCTCGCACGCCGTCGCTGTGCTTCAGGCCGATGGAGCCGCAGTACTGTGTTCGGCAACGCCCGCTCGTACAGAATCGCATTGCCCATCGACTCGGCCACAGTGCCACCGGAGATCGCGAATCTCGAGCTAAGCTTACCCGATGCCAATCTTCGACACAGATTATGTAGTGCAGCTAGTGTCGATGGTTTGCCTACCGCGCTCGCGAGGACGACGAACCCTTCAGGCTACCCGGTCGTTCATTGTACTAGGGTTTTCCAGGAACCTGAATCAGTAACTAGAAGACATTGAGCAAGGGCAGTAAGTTGTGAACTTACCCTGTAAAGGAATACATGAAGGTTTGCCGTCCTCTTAGTGTGCGTTTTAGTTTGTGAGCTCGATGCCGGAACCCACTACAAAGATACTTTTAGTTGAAAAAGGAAAGATGACTTAGATGATCGACGGCCATGGCCGGACAAGTGAAGAAGATAGTCATTGGCGAAGTGATGGTTGCGCCGGCGGTGGTTCCGCGCGCGCTGCAGCCGATCTTCGCGATCGTGAACTCACCTATGTCTTGCGAGAAGCACTGCTGGAGTGCCGTAAGGAATACTTGGGGACACGGAGGCGTGGTACAAGTTTTTTTTAATTTGTTGCGGGTTTGACGACTATCTACTTCCGATACTGCGCGCTGCAGCGGCCTCGCCTACGGGATGCGTGACGAACCCGCAGTAGTAGCCCATCGGAGGCTAGATACAAGTCGGCGAACGAAGATGTGAAGGCGGTGTTGCGGCCGGTGCACAACTCGTTCGATGAGAACTTGTTGGAGACGATGTGCGAGACCCGATGGAACGTGGACTCCGAGGACTTGACGAACGAGCTCTTGGTGTAAAAATCACGGGGATGACGGCGAGCCTGAAGAACAGGGAACTGCAGACATGGACGGGATGATCGGTGACGAGGTGAAGCTCAACACTTCGATCTTCGACGTCGAGGCCAAGGTGACGGCGTACTTCTTGTCAACGAGATCATTATAAGCAACGGCATGCACGACCTTTTCGTTAGGTAGGAATGTGTAAAGCAGGTTATTGAAGGAGGAAGTTATTGCCGGAGGACTTGGGCAAGAAGGTGAAGAACGAGCTCGAGTATCGAAGTGGCGAAGCCAAGCGCGAGGAAATTGTACTCTGTGGTGAGTGCTCTTGCGTTAGCCGGACAAGGAGACCCGTGCGATCAAGGAACTAGGACCCTGAAGAGAGAAGTCTGGAAGGTTTCCTAGGGGTGCCAGCTCCCGTTCAAGTTTTCGTCAGATCAAGACCAGAATCACACTACTGTCAAGCTCCTAACAGCGTCAACTGCGCGCTTGCATCAGCGAAACCTGATCAAGTTCCTAGTAGCGTCAACCGCGCGCTTGCACCAGCGGGATACCGTCTGCAGCGCACAATGCCTTGGGATCACATCAGCGCCGACAACGACTAGCCTCAGCACCCTTGTTCTAGACGGGCGGGACACCACATCCATCGAGTACTCTACGTCACTCTATGCCGTCGTCAGACGGTAAGGGATACATATTGCGGATATATGTGTATGGTGCGCCACTTGATTATGTTCCTGGCATGCGTCGACAGCACCAACATGAGTCGCAAAGTCGCTATGGCGCCGCCAGTTCTCAGCTCCGTCTACAGGAACTGCAAGCCGAGCAGTCGCCGACCAGTCGGTACCGACACCGTGCTGTATTGACTCAATACGAAGCGCACCGAGATGACCGGATTCTACTGAAAGTCAAAATGACGAATCGGCCAAACGTTGCTACATGTCCACTCCATAAGTAGCCGGGATACTACAACTATGAAATGGACGAACGAAAATTGGCAATACGAATTCGAATCCACTTGACTTCATCTTCTGGAGATGGCGCCAGACAGCATCAGCAATACCAGACAGACAACTTCAGCAGCTACAGACGTAGCATTGGCGTGGGTTCGATTGGCTGGGTTTGCTTGGTGACGCATCCGAGATACACTCGCAATTCGTGTTGTACAGTATATTAGAAAATGAGCTCGTACGGATTTTTCGCGAAATGTTTTATGTAATTACGTGATGGGTAATTGTTTTTACGACGTTTTTACGAAATGGGTCTTTGTGCCCAAATTGAGATTACTGGCTCCTGCGCGTTTGATGTCACCCCTCCTGCATTTCATACAAACAATATGACTGTTTTGGACGTCGATAACCCAGATGTCGCCCTTCCTCTTTTCTATTCAAAACATAAAATGTTTTCGCATGTCAACCCGTGGATATGTCGCTTATCCCCAACTAATATTTATTTTAAGAGTTGCTTGACACGTCAACATTTTACCGTGGGATCGGCGCTACGAAAGCGTCATTCAAAATATTTCCTCGCCGTGAAAGTGCTGCTGCAGCAGAGCAAGACAGGACGTGGGTCACAGCATCACTCGTCGAGAAGGCTCAAGGCTAGTGGAGTGTCAAATTCTATCTCGGTTGTTTCACGAATGTGATGCCAAGACGCTCCTGCGTTTGCCGTCGACGCTCCTCCTGGAGTTTTGTACTGAGAGAGGATGCTGTTCTCAACGGTGCCGGGCAGCTCCGTGCACGTCATGGTGCTTTCAATCAAGCCCAGAGGCGCCCTGGCGAAATTGAAGTTCCACAATTGCAGACTGAACGCATGGAATTTTACATGTAGATGTACAGTACTATTACAAGCAATTATATCGCCCGTATCGTGTTTAATCCTATTAGAGAATCAATAGCGATGCGTTCTAGCATACAGTCGTGTACAATGCGCGTCTTGTAATCGGATCACTGTCCTGCCAATGGCAGTGTACAGTAGTCAATCAATGTAGAGCGTTGTTATTCGATGCCGTGGACTTGGCAGCGCCAGCATGCATTGCACTCGACTCTGTTGGTTACTACGCGACTCGGGCCACTCCAGGCCATTCTTCGACGCAATCGTCCAGGACAGGAGCCTCCCGTTCCCCTCCCTTGTTCACCTGCGGCGCCTAGATGCCGTCCGCAGCGCCAAAAAGCTTGTTGAGAGCGGTGCGTTGCGATCTGTGAACAAAGCTACACCGGATGTCGACACCTACACTTATTCATGGTACTGTCGGATCCTCGAATCGGCAGCTTGCAGCCAACAACAGTAGCTCACGCTACTGGCGGCCACTCCACCAGCCCTTGTAGCCAACAACAGTAGCTCACGCTACTGGCGGCCACTCCACCAGCCCTTGTAGCCAACAACAGTAGCTTACGCTACCGGCGGCTACTCCACGGCCGGCCTCGATGCAGCTTGTCAGCGGCGTGAACCTCCCCCGCATCGCCCGAAGTGCTTCAGCGCAGCAGCCGCCAGCGGCCGGCATTTTTGTCTCACGGATTTATGGCACATGGTACCACAATTGGCGTCCTTCCACCACAGATGGTACATGGTACCATAATCGCGTCCTTCCAGCACAGATGCGAGCCGGCGCTACCGAAAACCGATCGACGCAGTACCGCGGCTCCATCGGCCTGGAGCACAGCGACGGCGTGCGAGAGCCTTCGGTGGATGAGGACAGACCGGTGAGCAAAGCAGGCGAGGACGAGGAACGTGATCTCGCGCTATTTCAGCGCTGCTGTGGTAGTATCGTGGTGGCACTGCTCGTGTCCACGGCCACCGTGTCGGCTCCGGTCGGTCGTTGGGGGCAGTGATGTGAACAAGAAGCGCTTTGTGCGCTGAGACCGGCATGGCGCCGGCATAGACGTGCTGGTCGGAATGATGTTGGCGGCAAGCCACGTCGAGGAGTAGCGTGGAGTGGGCCGAGCGTCGCGTTTGATGGCAGCACGGAGGCCGGGGCGAGTGGCGATGTCATTCTGTACGTGCCGGCGTTGCCGTCAACCGATCGACGCAGTATCGCGGCTCCATCGGCCTGGAGCACAGCGACGGTGTGCGAGAGCCTTCGGTGGATGAGGATAGACCGGTGAGCAAAGCAGGCGAGGACGAGGAACGTGATCTCGCGCTATTTCAGCGCTGCTGTGGTAGTATCGTGGTGGCACTGCTCGTGTCCACGGCCACCGTGTCGGCTCCGGTCGGTCGTTGGGGGCAGTGATGTGAACAAGAAGCGCTTTGTGCGCTGAGACCGGCATGGCGCCGGCATAGACGTGCTGGTCGGAATGATGTTGGCGGCAAGCCACGTCGAGGAGTAGCGTGGAGTGGGCCGAGCGTCGCGTTTGATGGCAGCACGGAGGCCGGGGCGAGTGGCGATGTCATTCTGTACGTGCCGGCGTTGCCGTCAACCGATCGACGCAGTATCGCGGCTCCATCGGCCTGGAGCACAGCGACGGTGTGCGAGAGCCTTCGGTGGATGAGGACAGACCGGTGAGCAAAGCAGGCGAGGACGAGGAACGTGATCTCGCGCTATTTCAGCGCTGCTGTGGTAGTATCGTGGTGGCACTGCTCGTGTCCACGGCCACCGTGTCGGCTCCGGTCGGTCGTTGGGGGCAGTGATGTGAACAAGAAGCGCTTTGTGCGCTGAGACCGGCATGGCGCCGGCATAGACGTGCTGGTCGGAATGATGTTGGCGGCAAGCCACGTCGAGGAGTAGCGTGGAGTGGGCCGAGCGTCGCGTTTGATGGCAGCACGGAGCCCGGGGCGAGTGGCGATGTCATTCTGTACGTGCCGGCGTTGCCGTCAACCGATCGACGCAGTATCGCGGCTCCATCGGCCTGGAGCACAGCGACGGTGTGCGAGAGCCTTCGGTGGATGAGGACAGACCGGTGAGCAAAGCAGGCGAGGACGAGGAACGTGATCTCGCGCTATTTCAGCGCTGCTGTGGTAGTATCGTGGTGGCACTGCTCGTGTCCACGGCCACCGTGTCGGCTCCGGTCGGTCGTTGGGGGCAGTGATGTGAACAAGAAGCGCTTTGTGCGCTGAGACCGGCATGGCGCCGGCATAGACGTGCTGGTCGGAATGATGTTGGCGGCAAGCCACGTCGAGGAGTAGCGTGGAGTGGGCCGAGCGTCGCGTTTGATGGCAGCACGGAGGCCGGGGCGAGTGGCGATGTCATTCTGTACGTGCCGGCGTTGCCGTCAACCGATCGACGCAGTATCGCGGCTCCATCGGCCTGGAGCACAGCGACGGTGTGCGAGAGCCTTCGGTGGATGAGGACAGACCGGTGAGCAAAGCAGGCGAGGACGAGGAACGTGATCTCGCGCTATTTCAGCGCTGCTGTGGTAGTATCGTGGTGGCACTGCTCGTGTCCACGGCCAACGTGTCGGCTCCGGTCGGTCGTTGGGGGCAGTGATGTGAACAAGAAGCGCTTTGTGCGCTGAGACCGGCATGGCGCCGGCATAGACGTGCTGGTCGGAATGATGTTGGCGGCAAGCCACGTCGAGGAGTAGCGTGGAGTGGGCCGAGCGTCGCGTTTGATGGCAGCACGGAGGCCGGGGCGAGTGGCGATGTCATTCTGTACGTGCCGGCGTTGCCGTCAACCGATCGACGCAGTATCGCGGCTCCATCGGCCTGGAGCACAGCGACGGTGTGCGAGAGCCTTCGGTGGATGAGGACAGACCGGTGAGCAAAGCAGGCGAGGACGAGGAACGTGATCTCGCGCTATTTCAGCGCTGCTGTGGTAGTATCGTGGTGGCACTGCTCGTGTCCACGGCCACCGTGTCGGCTCCGGTCGGTCGTTGGGGGCAGTGATGTGAACAAGAAGCGCTTTGTGCGCTGAGACCGGCATGGCGCCGGCATAGACGTGCTGGTCGGAATGATGTTGGCGGCAAGCCACGTCGAGGAGTAGCGTGGAGTGGGCCGAGCGTCGCGTTTGATGGCAGCACGGAGGCCGGGGCGAGTGGCGATATCATTCTGTACGTGCCGGCGTTGCCGTCAACCGATCGACGCAGTATCGCGGCTCCATCGGCCTGGAGCACAGCGACGGTGTGCGAGAGCCTTCGGTGGATGAGGACAGACCGGTGAGCAAAGCAGGCGAGGACGAGGAACGTGATCTCGCGCTATTTCAGCGCTGCTGTGGTAGTATCGTGGTGGCACTGCTCGTGTCCACGGCCACCGTGTCGGCTCCGGTCGGTCGTTGGGGGCAGTGATGTGAACAAGAAGCGCTTTGTGCGCTGAGACCGGCATGGCGCCGGCATAGACGTGCTGGTCGGAATGATGTTGGCGGCAAGCCACGTCGAGGAGTAGCGTGGAGTGGGCCGAGCGTCGCGTTTGATGGCAGCACGGAGCCCGGGGCGAGTGGCGATGTCATTCTGTACGTGCCGGCGTTGCCGTCAACCGATCGACGCA